GTCAGGTATAATAGTTTAATTTTGTATCAGGTTGAAAATCAGTTACAAGTAGATTTAGGTTAACTTTGTTATAAAAATATAACCGGTAAAATAGAATAAATCTACATGTTATTTAGAAAGACTTTCAATAAAAGCATTAAACAAAATACCGCAATTATATTCTCTAGTCAGTGAAAATGATTGACAGTACAGCTAACTATTCGAATAGGTTAATAAATTATAACATTAAAAAAATATATATTGAAAGTTTAATTAAAATGTATCAAACAGTATCATTCATCCTAATACTATGTTATTTGACCTATTTTTGTGCCGTGTATGTTCCTTTCTTCATGTGATCGGTTCAACATTATATCCTGCAGAGTTAAGGTCATCCATACAAAACTAGTTTACAACATAGCATTCCTTTGGATTCAACTAATTTGTTTCAATTCCTTTTTCTTTAATCGAAAGCCATTCAGTCCAAAAATGATTACTAAAGAAACTTTATCAAAAAAATGTCTGTACACAGTTTAGTTAGTACAGACTAAAAATAACAAGTGGCCTTTTTGCTTTAAGTTATATGTAAAAGCGTTAGCCATTATCTGTACATCATTCGTAGAGTTCATTTACATTAACCTTTCAACTTATTTACCCGGTATTAAGGCCATAGAAATCTCTTTAGAGTAAACTCTGGACAGACGCTAGATGCACTATGAAGAATTTTCTGACATACTAACAATAATGTCCACTGAACACGATTGTCAAATTATACTGAAACCGTTATCAATAATTTTAAAGCCATACCAGCAAAAGATAAGTACAGGTTGTCGAAACTCGATATTTTTGTTTAACATCCTTTCAAAGTCATCCCGTTGACGTTTAAAAATATCTTAAAATACGTATTCCTATCATTTAACAATTGATAAATCTCACTTCGTTATTTGTATTAAACGTTGTCAAGCTAAAATATTAGAAATTATATTGTTTGTTAGTTATACTTCATTGTAATAGTAATGAGAGATCTTACACTAATTCTCTGTGCTAGTATTATCATGAAATACTTTCAGGGTTTTTTTAAAACTGGTTAGTGAATAAAGAAAGCAAATATCTCAGTCAGATATTGAGTAGTTGCTGATCTTCAGAGTTTAAACAAGTAGGAATGTTGTTATAGGAAAATGGATTTATAAAAATAGAAACTGATTACATAAGTCGTAATTCTAAAGCTGTATCATCGAATCAATTTAATGATTATTCATGTCTTAGTTCAATATTAAGCTGATACATATGAATTAAACAGTATTCAATAAAAGATTAACAGATGATATATTCCTATTTATCGATTGATGTTTCATTGAAATATCATATATCATCTTTAACAAATATTATTTTAATAGTTGAAATCATGAGTTCATTAAAGTTAGACCACTATGGAAAACCTGGAACCACTGGATGGCCATTTCATCCTAGTACGGGACCCTCTAGCAGTGCACATCCACAATCGAGAATGCGGGACTTGAATTCAGGATCTTTGGTTTCTCACATGAACACTTAAATTCTGGACCACTGACCTGGCCAGTATCCAACGGTGTTAATGTCTAACTTCAATCAATTCACGAATTGTTTTTCTACATTATTTTATTCATTCAGTTCAAACTTGAAATAAAGTTTCGTAAAGAATCGTAATATATTTGTTAAATGTCCCTACTGCAGTGAACAGAACAGGGGGGGGGATAATCGAATGTATTTAACACAAAATTACAAGACTTGTTAATAAAATCTAACAATCATAAAGTAAATGCTTAATTTACGAAATGTCCATCGATCGTCTCAAAATGACTCAGACTTCATTGTTCTTGCATTTTCATACAAATCGCATCCTGTTTCCATTCTTTACTGTTCGATCCTCTTGTTTCTCTGCTTTCAGACCTTCTGTTTACGACTAACATCATATACTACTCATGTCAATATAAGTAGCACACACCACACTATTATTAGATACTTGATTTCATCACTGACTATTCTTTCTAATTAGTAATGGATGTATTCGGGTACTTGAATGTTTTTTTGATTTATTTAATTGAATAATACTATTTACTTGATCTAACTTACACAATGTTTGTTTACCCTTTTTTTTGGTGATGTTCATTTAACCAGTCTTTTTTTGTTGTATGTTACATTTATACTTACGTGTCACAACAAGTTAAGATAGATATTTGGATAAAATGTTTTTCTTACTTTTTCAAATAATTTAGAATATTTCTTTCTTTATATTTTTATATTGATAAATTTAAGATTGATAATCTCATCATAAACAATTTCTTTTATGAATGATTGATTCTAATCTCTATCAATCTTATTCATATTTAACTATGAAATGAATATAAACAGAAGTTTACGTGTTTTCAAATCAGTCATCTATAAGAAATGTCATTTAAAAAAATTAATACATTAAAACAAATGTATAAAGTTATTAGCTTAATTATATTATATCGTTGAAATCTTTTCACAATAATGAAACTATGATGAATTAAATAGCTACAAAACAAAAAACCTCTTTGATTTAAAGTGAATTATGATTCATACCATTTATTGTTCGAATCTGTATTTATTATTTTAGCCTTAAATAATTATAGTTTGAAGTGTTTTGATTTAAAACTTAATCAAGTTAACATGGTTCAAAATAAAATAGAACAATTTTTGGCGACTCTAATTTATGAACGACCTTTGAACGAATCTTAAATGACCTTGACAAATATTAGCCAATCAGCAAACAGTCAGTATAGAGTAAAAATATGTTATACAAAACCAAGGAAATAAAGTGGATACAATTCTTATACGTGGTTCAAAAACTTGTCAAGGTTAGAAAGAGGTTCAGAGGTTCTAAAATTGTAATATATGCAGTAGAGGAAATCATCCATATGGTCACAGGATAGTCGGCCTCTGAAGTTATGATGAAGTCTCAAAAACTCTTTCAGCCTCGAACACATAGTTTCAATATTGTTTATGTGCACTTCGGTTGTTGAGTGCACAAAATGCTACTTGTGAATAACGACATGATGCACATAACTGAGCCTATGTAAGAGTCTCTACGCTCTCCAAACATCCAAATATATTGTAGTACCTGGCTGCAGCCACTGTTACTGGTGCTTTTATTATCCAGGTCTCGGTAATTGTCATAATCTGCCTTAGTTAGGAATTAAATATAGGGTTTTCATCACGAACTGACATCAGCTATAATGCCAGAAATTTATTTAGCCAAATGGATGAAAAGCTTTCGCGTTAAAATCCGAGATCTGTTATCTTATACCAGATTGATTCGTCCAAAAATCATAGTCTCTCCGTTTTATTTGTTATAGCCGCTCAATTATCACGTTTTGTACAAAATTCCTTGTGAACCGATCGTACGTTAGCATTAAGCACTGAAGTTGGCGCCGTAATCTTAAAATCTCTAAAACGCCTCTGACTGGCTCGTCCATAAATTAGAGTCTCGCCCGATTTTTTATCCAATTCATTTCAAAGTACTGAATTGATTCCTATTATTAAAATTGATATTTGACCAATAACGTGCAATTATTGTCCATTAGAGTGGTTGTATATCTATTTCAATTCGTTAAATTACAGAGCAGACAATATTATACTATAGACTTTAATAAACTGTTCGGTTTCTTAAATTTTTTTATATCATATGATGAGTAACAAATGTAAATCTCTCATTGTATAAATCAACGACTACAGGAATTCTTCTTCCAACAAATAACATTGTCTAAACAGATATATTGAGAAAATTGGCTTTGTTTCTCAATATGAGTATCATCAATTATTACACATTGTATGATTGTTCCAAATGAATTTTAACAAAAGGTTTGATGATAATTAAATAAAATTAAATAAATATTCTGATAAGTTTTTATACTTGACAAAAATGTGTACATTAAGTGTCATATTGAATAAATAGAACCCCAAAATTACATCAACGTAACATAGATGCGACATAAAGAAAAACATACGTTGCCACAGAAAATAAGGTTTGTTGAATGAGAAATATTCACCATTAGAATATAACTTCAGTGGTTAGCATTGAATGCTTTACAATGTGGTTGTCCACCTTCTTTTGTTCCATATAAACTAAGAATCAATTTCAATGAGGAACATTCAGTATACTGAATCAAAAATTAGATATTTGAGCGAAATGATAATGATTTGTGATCAAAGTTACTTTGAATCCTCTTACAAATAATATTTCGGTTCAACAGCTTTTTTATTTTCTTAAAAATATTTTTAGTGCCCCTTTATCTGACTCCAGTTAGATCATGTGATTGATTGTTATTGAAATATACATGTCGCAAATCCTCGTATATAATCATCAACTTAAATCGCGTTAGTGGATAATGGAATTAAATAAGACAATGGATGTTTGATTATGTATATTCTGTACACTCATTCATCTGGACAGAGAATCAGAGGTACGAAGCGAAGAGATGAGAGCAAAGCGAAATGACGCAAAGTGGTGTATGAGCCAACTCGATGTATTCAAGCGTTAATCGATATTTATAGTCAGAACAAAAATAAGTTACAGACATGTGATGAGTAATTTAAGAAGTGCACACACACATACGTTGATATAAAAATAATCAAGGTTGATAAGTGAATAATTAATAAAATCAAAATATGACTCATAAAGAATGAGTAGATTAGACAGTGAGATGGTGGAGAATATTTGTAGCTCAGGTAGATGGTTTAGATGGAGTTTTGTTCTCTGAGTTGGATGGTTTGGTCGTGGAGCTTCATCTTTCTTCTGAACGAAATCATCTATCTGAAATTTGTGCTGATGATGTCGTTCAGAAGAACGATGAAAGCCTCACGACCAAATTATCAAGTTCAGAGAACAAAACCCCATCAAGATTAGACTGTTCACAAGCTAGAATAAGCTGTGTAGTCTTAACATAACAACCAACACTATATCTTCTTGTAATGATGAAGAAAAAATTACATTAAACTTTTATTTTATTTAATTTCAGATACTGGATTTATCTAACAAGTGTGTTATGGAAATATGAAATTTAATAACAATTCAAAAAGACAACCATACCGTAATATACCATATTCACATACGAATTGAACGACTTATCTTACCACATTTGTAAATTCTATCAGATTATAATGAATATTACTGAACATACTGAAGATGTATTAAATCCTTTTATTTTAAATTTATTTATAATCAATAAAAGTTCAACATGTACTCAAATGGAATCATTACCGGTTTCCGGTTTGTTCAGTTTTTATCGTGCTATAGGTTTATTATTAGGTCCATTAAATACTATATTAAATGGTTTATGCGTTCATATATTTAATCATCATTTATGGAAAAAATCAATAATGAGTAGAATATTAAAAGGATTATCTATTATTGAACTTGGTATGGGATTAAGTTTATTTATTCATGCATTAATATTTTCACAAAATTCCACATCATCTCATTCTAATCAAAATTTATTCAATATAAATAATACAATTAATAATATATATCCTAATTATGATATACATATAAATCATTTAAATCAATTTCAACAAGATTCTATTCATACAAATGCTTATATTAAAACAATATGCTCATTTTTTATTACAACTATATCTAGTAGATTTTTAGTAGCATTTCAAATATCACGTAATTGGTCTGTTGTATTATTGGCAGCATATCGTTATGATCAAATATGTCGACCTATTGGTACATCTAGTGCATTTCCACGTGAACGTATACGTTATATATTAATCATTATATTTTTTTTAGCTTGTTTAATTGTTATACCAAGAATATTTGAAAGTGGTATAGTTGTATGTTATATATCAGGAAATGTATCTAAAGATTATCCTTTATTAATTAATTATAAATTATATCAAATTTTATATTTAGGTTTAGTTATGTTTATTGTACAATCTGGTGGTCCAGTTATATGTGTATGTGTATTAAGTGCATTTGTAATAAGAATTATAGCAAAACGTCGAAAATTTCATCGAGAAAAAGAGCAACGTTCAGCTAGAAATTTATTAAGACGTCAAACAATGAAAATAGAAAATAATCGATCAAATTTAAAAAACAATATCATTACTGATAATAATAATAATAATAATAATCTTTTACAACGTAATTCAAATGGTTTGACAAAAGAATTAACTGAAAGACCAGCTCCATCAGGTGATAAATTAATGTTTGCTGTTTGTATAACATTTTTTATTTTAGAAACTCCAGCATTTTTCAGTAAAATATTAAATCCTTATTTGGAACAAGATTATCCATTAATTGATTTAACATTATCAGTTATTGCAAATTTATTAATTTATTTAGATTCTACATTGAATGCATTCATTTATATGGCATCTAATCCTTTATTTCGTAAAATTGCTCGAAATGAATGTATACAATATCGTGATCGTTTAATTTGTTGTCAAACATCAAAATCTACTCATCAACTAACTAGAATAAATCGTATTTTAGACACTGAACAAAATGCTATCTCAATAAACTCATAAAAATACATCATACAACAATATATTATATGATGATTTGAGTCATGATGATAATTGTATATGGATACATATTGTACAAATTTTGTTCTTGTAATTCTTTATATCTTTTGTATGTTCAATTATTTATGAGTTCAGAGGTTTCTATTACTATGTGAAAAATGCTTTACGTTATAAAGATGAATATTATTGTTGTTTCTTTCATTTAAATATGAAAGTAAACCTATCATCTATATGGGTTATTATTTCAACTTTTATGTATTTCATAAAGAAGAATTATCATTTAAGCTATATTTTTAACAGTTTGAATTGTGTTCTACTAATTGAATCCTAAAACGAATGAGTTTTATGACTAACAAATAACTTAGTATATCTTTCTATTGAGTTAATATTAGAAACACTAAAGAATGTCTTTTATTTCCATAAATACGTGTACAATTGTTAATTACAATCACAGTATATAAAAATTCAAGATTTGTTGTTGTTGATTATTTCGATGTCAGGTAAACATAAAGTTAAACAATTCAAGAATTCCTTATACCTTTCCATCTTCATGAGCTGGGTACTAAATAAATAGCGTAAATTGTGCTTTTTTGAGGTGTAAACATGTATAGAAGCGGTTTCATTGTTGAAAAATTGTCTTAACCGCTATTTAAGTTGATCATTTACGGTAGTATAAGTCCATATGCCTTTGTATCAATTCAAAAATATAATTGGATCTTTGTTACGAGATAGTTATTGCCACGGCTGAAAACGTCCGAATTATTAGATAGAAGGGGATTGAAGAAGAGTGTAAAGCAAATTGAAATATTTATGGTTCTATCAAGTGATAATTAGAATTTGTTAAATGATTAATCAATTATTAAAAAATTCTAAGCTCTTTTTGAAAAAAAAACATACCTTGACAGATTTACTGAAAATACCAAACATCTAAAACGATTTACTTTGAAAGTGAATGCTTAGGCAATTCACGAATCATAAATGGTTTGTACTGTGAGAATAAGTGTCAATTAAATTCATATAAATATGTAATCAATGTTGTAGAATACTTCTGAGCACTTAACGTTATACTATCTACCATTGTAAATAGTAGCTAGTAACTACGTTATAGTGTCGTAGAAAACTGTTATGAAATGTTTAATGCATTTTAAATTATACCTGTTGATTTTTGATTTATCTACCCCGTGCAGCAAAAGTCTCACACCAAGTTTCCCAAATCAATAATGTACTGGGCTCTTCTTTACAGTTCTTCCCAAGAGTTATTTATTCTTTCCATGTCTGTCTCCGGTTCCTGGTTTAATGTATTCTATGGTCTGCCTTCCTATCTTCTCCCTTAAGGATTTCAAGTTAGAGCTCGCTTTGTGATGTAATTTGATGGTTTCTGTAGTATATGTCCTATACACATTCAGTATCCCTTCCTAATTTCCTCCTAAATTGGAAGCTGGTTTACTTTGTCCCACAGTAGGTTGTTGCTGATAGTGTCTGATCAACGTATACAGAGTATCTTACGTAGATAGCTATTTGCTAATAACTAACTTTTTGATGATTACAGTCATCCACCAAGCTTCAGCTTTGTACGACAGAACATTCTCGATGTTTATAATAAAAATTCTGACTTTGGTGTTGACTGACAGTTATTTTGAATTTTAGTTAATTTTCAACTGTAGAAACGTTGTGCTGACAAAGCAAGGTCAACAATTCACTTCAAAACACGTATGACAATTATTCTTAAATGTTTTACGAGTTGCTGTATAAAAAACAAACATGAAAAGTTTTCTTTATGATTTATTTAGTTTATTCTACATTTCCATATTTGAGCCACAATTGAAATGTATGGATATGTATTACCTGACATATATCATTGTTTATCATTATGTGCAATCTGACAAATTACTTATGACAACCTTAAAAACAGCATACCATAGAATGCAAATTAGTTGTTTATAAATAATCAAAACAATGATACAGAAACAATGCTTTTTATTAATGACTGATTCTGATACTGCTAAACGTATTATGAACATATTATGCGTTAAATTAAATTATTTTTTTGTCTGTCTATTGAATTAAGCATATTAACATATTTATGCTTGAGCAATCAAGAACATAATATATTATATTACTTTATCAATAACCACTTTATCATATTTTAAGTGTTTTAGAAAAATTATTACATTAAAGGTAATACAACAATGTAAAGTGTCACATGTTACTAATAACCCAACATCAAGTTAACCATCTAAATTATTATACACTAAGCTAATAGTAAACCAAATACTTTCCGTAAAGACTGAAAGTTTGATACCTAGTACAATTTAAGGGGCATGTAACAGGGGAATATTAAACTTGAACAATATAACTATCTAATCCTAAATGATTTTTAAAGTTGTATGAATAAAATTAGTCTGTGGTGTAAAATATATCAAAACTAATTCATTATCTAGACTAATAACCGTATCCTAATATTTTGTATATCTTCATAACATGTTACCTAGTGATTCATAATTCAAATGGTCTTAAACATAATATAAACTTTCAAAATGATCAGACATGTTAAAAAGGAACCCATGTAGTATTGATATCTTTGTAGTTTTTTTTAAAAAAAATCAAATCTACATAAAGACTGAAACTTAATAGTAACTGGCCAATTCAGAAAATGTATTTATTTTACAGTAGAAATGAAATTTTGCACGCCCGCCCGCCCGCCCGCACGCACGCACACACATGCACACAAACACAAAAAATAAGTATCATATCTAACAATCTACTCATTTACTTACATTCAATAGGAATCTTTTTAGAATTTTGACCGGATATAAATTGATTCAATTTTTTCCTTGTTCATCAATTTTTTTTTCATTGAAATTTAACTAAATCAAAAAACACACACACAACTAAAACAACCATTTAAACAAATTAATTAAAAACAAAAAAGAAAAATTCGATTTTCTTTTTTTTTTCTTTTTTCTTTTTGTAAATCAACATTTTATGTAATTTTCTTTATTAACCAAAGTAAAAATTCTTTGTATTCTAACCAATAATTATTGAAGATTTATTAAATTTATTTACGCTCAATTAACATAAAAACATTCTTTTCTTTTTCATAATATTTAATTGTAATAATAAGAAAAATGAATTGACCAGTAGAAAAATTTAAATTTTATTCATTTGAAAGAAAAAAAAGAGAAAAAAACATAAAAAAGAAGAAAAACATTCAGGAAACAAATAAACTGGAGAAAAATCTTTTTTCTTTTTTTTTCTTTTCTATTTTTTCATTATCAATTATTGTACAATAGTATTTAGATAAAAATGATTAATGTATTGAATATACTTTATATATTAATTTACATGATTACAATGAGTAAATTTATGATTTAACCAAATTATATTAATGGATAAAATAGATTAAAAGATTATTCATTAAAATAGTTTGAAAATTAAAAAAAAATGTCTAAGAAATTAATGATGGAATTAATGTATAATATATGCAATTCATTATGATAAATGAATTTGATTGTGAATGGAAATGAGAATTATTTTAAAGAAATCGTTATTATGTTTTATTAGTAATGTTAAACCAGGTCTGTTGTGAGATATCAACTCACTGAAGACAATGGTATATGGTGGCGCAACTTCTTGTTTTGGCTGAAGTTAGATAATAACACCGTTGGATGCCGGCTCAATGGTCTAGTCGTTAAGTGCTAGGGCATGAGACCAATTGGTCCCAGGTTCGAATCCCGCAAGTCGAGATCGTGAATACGCACTGTTAAGGAGTCCCACAATAGAACGAAATGGTCATCCGGTGCTTTCAAGTTTCCTATGGTGGTCTGACTTCAATTGACTCATGATTTCAACAACTGAATGTAGTACGCATTAAGATTTGTATTTCAATTATCTTTACTATAGACAGAAGTGTATATCATTATGATATACTGAGATAACACCTTACTTTCTTGCATGAAAACTTTAAAGATATATAATTTTACTTCTTATAAAAAAATTATCAATGAAAATCAATAAAAATACCTATAGATTGAATATAATTTAAATGTCTAATTATTCATTCTATAAAGTTATCTTTCTACTTTATATCAATTTCTAAGAATAATTAGCTCATTTAAATATTCTATTCAAATGAAATAATCTTAAGTCAGTGACTTTCTGTTTGTTTGTTGATTAATGTAATTAAATGTTTTCATAACTCTGCCTAGAGTCCCTTCGCTAGCTACTGCCGGTCCCAAGCCCGGATAAAGAAGCAGGGTTGGGCATGGGGTTAGCGAACCCATCCCGTAGGAAACTAACTCACTAAAAAAACGCTAACCAGAAAACTTTTTTTTCAAAATGTTTTCATATAAACAAACTTTAAAAAAAGCATTTGATAGTAAACGATTGTTTCATTCTTATAAAGCAAAGTAATTTTTCCTCAATTATATATACTTTTTCTACATTGTCATCTAGAAGAAAATTGAAAATTGACCAAAAAAAACAAAAATAAACGAATAAAACAAACATTTATGAAATTAAGATATTTTTATAATTTTAAAGTGAATTTTGGTTAATAGTAACTATCGTGACTAGTTAATATGTCATTATTAATATATTGATCATTTGTCTATAAAAATGATTAATTAAGGTGAATATTATGAATACCATTTTATTTAGTTTATCCTGACTCAATTTAATGGTGTTTTTTTCTTTGAGATTATGATAGATTGAAAGGAACAAAGTAGAACAACAAGAAGAAAAAGGAGAGGAAGAAGGAATAAATTAGTATTATGTAAATTCTAACAGTTTTATCTTTAATGTAACAATGTTTTTAAAAAGATGAAAAGCATTTAAATAATAAAGCAAACTTCCTAGAACAACAACTACAACAAAATAATATTGGTTTAACCTAAACTATAGCCAAATAGAATTAAATATAAAATTAAATTACAGTTATGAATTGTAACATTTTAATGACGTTAAAATGTATATAACCCAGTTAATGATGAAAGAAGACATAAAAAAGATGTATTAATAATATGGTACACTGATTGAACAATTGTTCTGATAAATGTTAACATTTGTTTGGTTGGGACAGTTAATGGAATTCAGGAAATAAACTTAATTTTTTATATTTTTCCCATGTAAATGTCTGTTATTAAATTCTTGTTTAAATTTAAATGTCTGAATCCGATAGATTGATTTTCTTAGGTTAGTACTAACGATGTAGACGTCTAAATATGAACAGGTATTATTCAGAAGCAGAAAAATAGAGCTGTCGTAACATTATTGAGTTTCAAGTTATGAACAGCAATTGAAGGTGTTGAGTTCACAATTCACTCTTGAGCCCATTTATATATAATCAAATATACATTGATAGTGAACTAGCTTCGTCGATAGATTGTGATAATCTCTTTTAAATTTTTGAATTAAATCATATAGAAAGTGGATTGAGAGTTTAAAATTTCCACCTCAATATTGGATTATCAATACTCATACCATTATTTGCATAACCTTGGAAAGTTTATACATCTATGAGCTTTAAAGTAGTTTTAGTATAGAATCCATAAGATTCGCTATCAAGTCAGCTGATTGTTTACAATATTGACAATTTGAGGATTATTGAATTTCGTAGTTTGACATCACGGATCAGAATCATCCAGTATCGCTAATAGACTGAAACTAGAAATGTAAACCAATGTATACTAACTCAGTAATCTGAAGATTAAGCACTCGCTGTGAGATGTACATATACTCGGTTCCATTTTAGGTGAGATCGTGAATGAAAATCTTAAGAAAAAACAACTATCTAGATCGTCCTGGCTTTTCTAAGAAAGATTATTGTTACAGAAAGATGACAACTGCATTCATTTTCACTACTCTTACCTTTTAAAAAGTAAAGTTATGAAAAAAGGATACGTTATATTTAAAATGAACGATGTATAATGACTTGTGACGTATATAAAGTGGTTTGTGTGTTCCATACTTAGTTTTGAAAGTTAAATATTGATACTGTATATAATCCACCATTGTGTCTTAAAATTTTGAAAATAATATTAGATTTATTCAGAGTAACTTCGAATATTATAGGGTCGACGACACACTTTTCAGATCATGATTGTTTGACATCAGTTTCAAAAGAAAATTGATAACCTGTATAATCACAATTTATTGTATGTATATACATCCATCTTAATAAAATTTGACAGTTGATCCCTTATTATTAGAAAATGATTCTCCTATAGAGCATATAAGTCAATGTAAAACTTCATCTTTTTATTTTTGATTATGTTACTTTAGTAAGTATTTTGTATATGTCTATTTGAACATTTATTGTTTAAACTATGAAGGTAAATCACTGCAATGTCATAAACTGACAACCAAAAAACATTCTGTCAAAACCTATTTGTGCTTAAGGAACTATACAACTAGTGATATGGATTTTCGGTTTATTAAGACTTTAATCAATATTGCTTTTTGTGCTGTATTAACGTAACCTATTTAAAAACT